CACAAAACGTAAGTTGAATTAACTATTATTATAAGCAAGGTTTCCCCAAGGACTATTAAAAACGTCTTCGGAAGGTTTGTATGCCCTATGAAGTTACTATATACTGATTAGGCAACAAAAATAGGAATAATATACATCTTGTTTTAATGTTTTTCTATTATTATTCTGTTTAAGTGTATTAATACTGTATACTTTTACTATTATCTGCAACCATTACCATTCCCTCTGGAGAGCGAGTATGTGTTAATAAATATGAAAATATTTTTGTCCCCGCAGCATAATGCTGCGGTATACGTTACAAGTGAGATATCTATATTACTTTTATCTGTAGGCGACACTTGTTCAGTAACTTGTAAGGATCATGACGTAGATTCTGTCATACAGACTGCAGGAACTATCAGTAGACACAGTAGCATTATGTGCACTGGGCTTAAGAAATGGATTCCGGATCCTACAAGTTTTTCCTGTGTTCAGAAATGCATTGAGGTAACCGGGTTGACTCTTTTGCAATTTATCAATGACGCAACCATGCAAAGTAATGTGTTAATATCCTTCTGTTAACATCAATAATTACAATTACAGTTAAAATGATATTGTTACTTTAAACAACTTTTGGGTCACCCACTTATGTCGCAGGAGTGTTTTGTCATTCGAGGGCACAATACAAAGAAATGTGTATTGCTCATAGTACCACCTAACTCGTTAACTAATATTTGTTTTCTATAGAAATTCATTGAAGATGAGATGTGTGATCCCCAGAACAACAGAGCATACTGTGATTGGGATGGAGGTGACTGTTGTGCATCTACTTTAGGTAAAGAGGTCGACAAATCACTCTGCATGGAGGAGTGCCCATGTCTAGATCCAGATGCCGAGGAAAATATTAAAGAAAGCAGACAGAATACAAAGAAACTAATCAGAAACATGAATGGCTGAAAAGTTGCAGAAATAACATCATATTTAAACTTTTGACAGTGTTGTATAATTGTTTTCGTATCATAACCCAAATATATAATATCAGTATTATCAGTACGTATACTATATATTTATTGGTAAAAGCAGAAGTAGGTAGATATTAAGTTGAATGGCGGTCAAGTGGCCATTTTAACTGAAATAGTATTATCACTACAGCAGTCTCAGAAGTGCAGCAGTCGTCCACATGATGTTATGTCTGGGTTTTCAGTGGTTATTTAAAATGAAACCCAAGTATACCTGCATTTTGGCACATTTTTGGTGTCATCAGTATCCTGAGTACAATCACCCCCATTTTATTTAATTAAACAATATTTTGATAAAATGGAAATTTGCGATCTATAGTGAATTGCGACTCCACCAATCATCACTGGATGAATAGTTAATTTCGTTGCCATCAGATGACATAAGTCGTCTCAGTGTGTGATGAATTGTTTGGTCATGGCAACTTTTATTCGATATTAATATTGAAGCAATTTAGATAAGCTAACTGTTTCAAAATCAGTGAATGCAGTATGCAAATTAGTGAGTGTACATAAATTATAGTATGTAAATTAGATAATTTGAATAATTCAACTTGAATGCACGATTTCTCTTTTTTTTTCTATGTATCACCGTTTTGTAGATTTTGAAAGGATGGCAGGTATAAACTAATAAAAAGTGATGTTTAGTTTTAGCACACTAACACAAAATATATTAAATATTATATCAGTTATTATATATCTAGGGATTAATAATGTGTATATATATCATTACTTACATTTGATTCTGCCTGGTGCAGAATCTATATTTGAGGCTTGAAAGATTCTTGAATAAAGCAGTATCTGCAAATAACGAACCACTAAGTAATGGTTGTGTACTTTTCTGTGTTGGCTTTGTATATTAAAGCAGAGGAGTCATCACTTACACATGCAACAGGTGGCTATATCATTTCGTTGTTTACAAACAAGTGTCTACTGTTTTATACCCAATTTTCACGTTCATGCAGGTCTTTTTGACCCCAATTTTATTTTTGGCCATTTAAAAAAAGTTTAGGCCATTTATTTGACAAAAAACGCCAATTTTTTTGGGCCAAAGTGTCCTTAATATGGATCCTTGAACAGGTTTGATTGTAGGAATTTAAATGAATGATGTCAACGTTCTTTTCAGAAAGATGCATAACGCTCTGCAACTGTGGGAGAGTGCTGGAAATATAAGTTTGGAAATGGGAAAACAAAAATTTAAGAAAACTACTTAAAATCATTTTAATCACATCGGTGTCTGGCCAAGCCAATTGGATGATTTTAAATGCTCTAGAACAAGATATCCAAACAAATAAATGGTTTTAACTGGGATTCCTAACAGCAGACTATGGAGTTTCCTTCCGAATCTCTCAAACCTTTTGTTGCTATCAGTCCTCAAAAGTGATGTGTACCACTAACATGGGTTCTAGGGACCTAAACCCACAAAAATTAGCGACACCGGTAATTAGTGCAAGAACTTTGAGCAAAGCTAATTGTCACAAAATTCTAATGAGAAGTAAATCAGGTTTATGAAATTATTTAACAATAAATTTACGAAAATCCCATAAGCGGTTCTTAGGATATAGCCAGAAATAAATAAAAGTTTTATGCAAATTAAGGCAGTCTATAATAATGTTTTATTGCATTTTGAAAAATAACATTTTCACACTTTATTGCTGTATATTGATAGAAAACAGAATTGAACAAAATATGACAAAATCCAATAATTATTCTAAGTATACACTTTGTATTAGTGGAAAAAATACTCACACAAACTTGTGAAAGTAAGACAATAATATTGAATGGCAACTTAAAGATAATATTTTAATTGAATTAATTAAATTTTATTAAGGTAATGAGAAGGGTTTGATGACATTTTTGAATAAAGCATTCTCTGTCTGTTGTTTCATTTAGAGTCGTAATTTAGCATATATGATTCAAAGGCTTAAGTATAGACTGGCAAAGTCGGGAAGAAAAAAATAATTGTTCTTTTATTTTTTTTAGCGTGATCGCGAAAAATAACCTGGCCGCTAAAGAAATTCCGACTGGACGCATTTGCTGGCATTTGACTGCTATTAATTATTCATGATGTCATTAATTATTTAAATGACCAATGTGTACACGCAGTCGCCGAGATCTCAGAAGTGAAAGGTCACGATAATTAACATGATAGGGGGATGATGTTCACAGCCGCACTCTGATTCGTTGTCAATGCTAGTCAACATCTTTAATTAGCATAATCATCGGAGTGATTCCAATCTGGTTTCCACTCCAACGCAGGGGGTCGCCTGCAGATGCATCCAGTCGGGATTTCTTTCGCAGTCATGCTGGTTTTTGTGATCACGTTAAAAAGGCTAAATTGACAATTAATTACATCTTTTTCGTAAAACAAAAACGAAGTCCTGACTTTGCCAATCTAGCTTAAGTATATTGGACAGTCATTGTTTACATAACTACCATGTGACAACAAAAATGGCAAACCTTGTAAAAATGACTAAATAAGCGAATGCGAGAGAACACACTGCAAAATTTCCGAAAATTTGCGCCATGAATTTTTTGTAATCAAGTTCATTGAAATGTGTCATAACTGTTTTATCAATTTTTGAAAAACTAAAATAAAAATGAAAATGAAAATTTCCCTTCTCACTACCTTAATAGAATTATGTATTATAGGTCAAATCTTGGAATTGTGGTTAGAATAACACAAAAGTAGGTATACTCCAAAAAAATGATTTCTGAAATACATGTACATATAATATTGCACCTCATTTTATTCAAAACAACCACACACATGTATTGCACATACAAGTCAACAGCAACAATTGATAACAAATGGGTGTCACATCGATATATGAAATAAAATAATCAATAGCATTTACACATCAAAGTCAAAAATACCATTCACATCACATAGAAAACAATCTGGGGAAATGAACACCAAGAATAGAACATAGTTAAATATTTACAACCTTGCCCAAGGAAAAAAATAATTATTATTCAGTGAAAATTACAGAAAATGTGAACAAATGCAGAACGCAATTGACAGTTATTTTTCAAGAATTTTTAGCAGAATCACAACTGCAAAGAACTCAACTTTTAATACAACGAACAAAAAATAAGTGTTTTCATAGAAGTGTTTAACCCTCTTTTAGCCAATATATATTTTGTGTTATCCTACCGACACCATAAAAAACCTTGTGAAAATAGAGGGCATTTTTGCCTGATACCTTAAAATACCATAGCCATTTTAGCACATTGTCTCTTTTGGTTTTACATCTCCCGAACTTTAGATTATGGAATATTTTTACAACTTCTTGTATGCATTATATCTATTATGGTGTCCTTATGTATTATACTACTTTTATGAAATACACGAAAGGTATTTTTCTAGTCATCACTAAAAAATCACACATGGCTTTTTATGGATTGG